GAAAGAATCAAAGAAAGAAAGAAAGAAATGAAAATATAAACGATAAATGCAAAGGGTGCAAATAATAAAGAAAGAAAGATAGAAAGAAAGATAGAAAGAAAGAAAGAAAGAAAGAAAGAAAGAAAGAAAGAAAGAAAGAAAGAAAGAAAGAAAGAAAGAAAGAAAGAAAGAAAGAAAGATAAAAATCAAAAAGCAAATGTTAGAGAAAAACTGAAAAAGAAAATAAAAGCAGAAAAAGAAAGAAAGGAATGAAAAGCAAAAAAAAGCTAAGAAAAAGAAAAGAAAGAAAGCTTTTAACAATTGTATAGGTATAGCTTATTTAAAATGTTGGACACACACACACACACACACACACACACACTACATTGGTTCTCATTTTCAGCACAATTTGAGATTGGGCTCAGAGGACAGAGGAAGTGTGCGCAGTGTGCCCTTGACTCTGCTCTCTTTATATCACTATCTATCTCTCTATCTGCATCTCTATCTTAGTGTCTGTCTCTCTGGCACTTTTCCCGGAGCAGAATCTGTATAAAAAGAGTGACAGAGAGGTCACGGCGACTTTACCATCAGACCGAGATACTCCAAACAACACACTAATTGTCAGTTTAATCAGGTCCACATACTGTAGCTCATGTTGTAGCCCATCTGTTGCTATGCACAGTGTCAGTCTCTCTCTATTATTATCATTCATGTAGTTTTTATCAGTTCGGATTGTCTGTATGTCTGTGCCCTCTATGTGTTTTTTTTTAAATGCTGCAATTAATATTATTATTGACGTAAACAAATACTACAAATGAGATACAATACACCAAATAATACTATATGTCACTGGTCAATAATAACGCACATCACACAATCACAAACAACACATACTTTATACATTTCATCATCACTGGTGTAGAACATTGGTGTATTTGCTTAAAGTCATGACTATGAACAAACAACACCCAGAAAATACAGGCACATGCACCTCACGCACTATTCAACTCAACGCATTGATAGCTTATCGAGGCTTCAAATGCAACGATTATATATTGATCTACAATCAGAAATAAAGTCCACGCAATCATTTCATGTCATGACAGGTACATGCATGTTTTATTAATGGCAAAGCTAATGAATGTTGTAGTGTATATGAAAAAAAAGAGAGAAGGATTTATATAGCTCACCTGCATGTTGTCTTTTCTTCCTTTTTCCATTTCCTCCATTTCAATCGTTCACCAGCTGTCGCATTATCTTCCCGTAGCTCTATGCTTTTGGAGAGCGACAAAGCTGAGAGAAAAGGAAGGGGACAGAGTGTGTGTGTGAGAGAGAGAGAGAGAGAGAGAGAGAGAGAGAGAGATATTCTCTAATGAGTGTGACAGAAAGAGAAAGAGTAAAGGGGGCTGAAATTGATACTTTTTACAATACAGTGGTAAAGAATGGACAGTTTTTGTCAAATAACAATTTTTTTCACAGACTCCTTTGTTACATTTTTTTAAATGATTCAAGCAACTTCCATGCAAGCATATTGCTAATATGACACTACGAAGAGTTTATGTATGACAGTCCCTCCAAGATTTTGCGATTTTACGACCACAGAAATGAACGCAAAATCAAGCAGACTCAGCAACATTCGGAGGAGCTCGCAATTTTTCTAAATTACTGCAGATTTTCGCCAAGACACGTCATGTGATCGCAAAACATGCATTTAGTGAAAGCCTTCTTTCGTGCAAAGGGCATGTGCTGAAGAAAGTAGTTTTATTATTTTTTTTAAAACACAAAAAAAACCCCAAAAAAAACGCAGCAACATCAAGAATTTTTGCCCGCAACAAATATTAAATAAACTCTACTAAATCCTATACGGACTTAAATGAAAACATGTTTCTTCCTTAAAACTCTAAGGGCCTGCATCTCATCTGACGGTTACAAAGTGCTGACACTGGAGACTCCTTCCATAAATTTAAAATTAATAATTCTCCTCACAGAAAACATTCCCATATCAGTGATTACAGGGTACTCCGGTTTCCTCCACCAGTCCAAAGACATGCATGGTAGTCTGATTGGCGTGTCTAAAGTGTCCGTAGTGTATGAATGGGTGTGTGAGTGTGTATGTGATTGTGCCCTGTGACGGACTGGCACCCTGTCCAGGGTGTACCCCGCGTTGTCCCCGATGCTCCCTGGGATAGTCTCCAGGTTCCCCGCGACCCTGAAGAAGGAGTAAGCAATAGAAGATGGATGGATGGATGGATGGATGGATGGATGGATGGATGGATCATTGATTACAAAGGTTTTTACTCTGTCTGCCATACAGGTCCCTGTGAATTACATTATTCTTATAGAAACAATAACATATTAAAACAAGCTCATTAATATAAACCCATGATTTGAACTACTGCCAGAGCTGCTGTTAAAGAAAATTAATCGATACCTTCTGACCAATTAGATTCAATTACTCAAAAGATTACAGCAGGGGAAAAAACCACACAGTACAAAAAACGAGTTCTATTACAATAATAATAATAAAAAAAAGTAATTAAATTAAAAACTTTTTTTTAATTTTTTTTTTACAATTATACACACTGGACATGTACTGAAAATCAGTGGTATGATACAATGGGATAACGATCACAATATCATCACTATGTTCCATTTAGGAGTATGCAAATCTAGGTAGTTAGCATCTTGGAGTGGAGATTGTGCTCCTGAGATAAAATCTGTACCAGTTAGAGTGCAGAATAAGTTGTTTTCAATGGATACTTTGAAGGTAGCATCGTGTCTGTCCTTCTTGGAACAGGTAATCCCATAATTCTGCACTAAACGTTACAAAAACAGCATTTCACATTTCGCTACAGAAGCAAAAATGTGCAAAACTATTATTCTGTGTCTCCTGACAGAAAGCGTTCATTGTCTTCTCTCCATCCATAACCATTGACAGCCATTAGCTGTCAGGAGCATTCCTCTGCAACACTTTCTCAATCAATCGGTTTTAAATGACAGACAGATCGATAGCCTCCTCAGCGAGACCATGCTATCCCACGTCTAGTGTTTCCAAGCCACAGAAACAGTAAGAGGAGACATGTGAAACATCTGAGCTGCCCTAAATTTAGGCCTGAAATGCAGCAGGAGACAACTGTAAGCGGATTTTGGACATCGTTTCAGGTCACCTTATATAATAAATGTAGCTAATTAGCTAATGTTCAGCTGTGATGGCCGAGTGGTTAAGGCGTTGGACTCGAAATCCAATGGGGTTTCCCTGCGCAGGTTCAAATCCTGCTCGCAGCGAGAAGAGCAGTTTTAACACTCTACAGACAAGAACCCTTGAGAAAGGGCTTGGCACAAAGTGGTCCAGTATTAACTGCTGACCTACTCCACATAGTCTTCTAGTGTACCAGCAGACAATGTAAGAAAAGAGACTGAGAAAATACTGCAGTAGAAATCCAATCTGCCTTAGATGTACATGATAAGAAACTTAATTTTAAAGATTAGTAGAAAGCATTAGATTTACACTGTATTTGGATCACACTCTTGAAACTCCTGAACTATGTTTAGGATTGAAATGCTTCCAGTGTAGCACTCTTGATTTATTCTAGGACCAAAATTTGTCTAGTGTAGCAGCAGACATTGTAAGAAAAGAGACTGAGTAGTACTGAGAATACTGCAGAACATTTCCAAATAAATAATGCAGGTTTGAACCCTACTTGCAGCAAGAAAGGTTTTGGCACCGATTTTCCACCAGTAAAACTGGCTGAGATCCAGCACTAACTCCTGAACTACCATAGTTTTCAAATGTGGAGCAGAAGAAAACTGAGAGCCAATCCACTTTAAGGAAAATGTAGATGTGATTGTATGAGACCTGATTTAAAGATTAGCTGATGCCTTCTAGTGCAGCTGTTAAAGAAGCTGTGATGGCCGAGTGGTTAAGGAGTTGGATTTGAAATCCTATGGGGTCTCCCCACGCAGGTTCAAACCCTGCTCACAGCGAAGGTTTTAAAACTCTGTACCCTTAACCAATAAAAATATAATTCAGTTATGGCCTCCTAACCATCAGATGTACTCCATTTCCACCAAAGCTCTGGAACTTTCAGCACATGTCCATTTAAGTAAAATTGGTTGCAGTCCAACCCAAATACATGAACAAACCAACTTTGGATTTGTAATCCAATGGGGATTTAAACCCTACTTGCAGCAAGAAAGGGTTTGGTACTAGAGATGAGCGATATGGACTTAAAACTACACTGCAATATATATTCTGGCATTTATTGTGATAACTATGTCAGTGGCAATATAAATACAGTACCCTGCACCACAGTTTTTGGCTACAAATGACTGATGTGATCTTGAGAGCCTCAGAAACAGAGATCTAAAATGAAAATGGATTTTTTTTGGAACCAAACCAGTTCCAGAAAATGTAGAGGTAGCTCCACGTTTAGATATCACACCTCCCTAATTAGCACCCAATTTCCACCACTGAAACTGGTTGAGGTCCAGCACTAACTCCTGAACTACCCTACATTTCCCAAATATACAATGCAAAATGTGGAGAAGGAAACGGCTGTGAACATCTAATCTGCTTTATGGAAAAGATTTAGATTATTTACATGATTCAGATGTAACTCCTGAACAACCCTACATTTTCTTCTAGTATAGCAGCATACAATGTAAGAAAAGTGACTAAGTTACTGAGAAAATACTGCAGTAGAAGTTCAATCTGCCTTAGATTTACACAATCGTACGAAATCTAATTTTGGATTTATACCGTATTTGGATCACACATTTGAAACTCCTGATAGAGTGGTAGAGAGAAAATACCACAGCCCCCCCCTCCCCTAAAATAAATGCAAATATAGAAACCAGCTATAGAAATTCAGTCTGCTTTAGATTTATATGATTAAAAGTACAAGATTAGGTAATGCATTAGATGTTATCGTGGTTCCGTGTGATGCAGTGGTGCCTTGGTGGTTAAGACTTTGGGTTTTTGATCAGATCGGGGGTTCAAACTCTAGCACTGCCAAGCTGCCACTGTTGTGGCCGAGCGGTTAAGGTGTTGGACTAGAAATCCAATGGGGATGCCTTGTGTATGTTTGAACCTTGCTTAATTTGCTTCATCAAGATTAACTAAAATTTTTATTTTGTTGACAATTTACAGTAATTTAAATCAATAAAAGGACCGCGATGAGGGAAAACAGAAACAAAGTCACATTACAAAATGTTTATTAGAAATGTACAAGATTTTTTTTTTTATCTACAAAGTATTGGAACGAAGATGAACAAACTCCTAGTGCTTAAAGAGGCAGATCGGAGTAGAAATCAAAAATAATAATAAAAAAAAGGGGGGCAAAAACGAAATCAAAAATAAACAAAAGACTGAAAATTCACACGTTGATGTGAGATTCAGTGTTGACAGTCTGTTGTGTCTGTCCCCTGATCCGTGAACCAAGGAACTGCCAATATGTACCAGTTATACAGGTATAGTTGGGGCTGAAGTGGATGATGTGAGAATTCAGGATGACTCCTCATCGATTTTAGGAGCCAGGTAGTACTTGATGTGACCCATATCTGCAATCTTGTACTCCACCACTGAAGGAGAAGAAAGAGAAAGAGGGAGAAATGAGAAAAGTAAAAACTAATCAGGAATAATAACATATACATTATGTATACTATAAAGTGGATACAAGTGCTATTCATAGTTGCGATTATGGATAGAGATTTAACATGGTGATCCACCTGATCAAGTCAGGGTTTGATCATGTGGATATGTAAAACGTTCACAAGTGACTGCATCATGTCTTACCAAGTGGAATATCTGCAGACATGCTGAGTGTGACTGTCTTGGATAAAGGAGTGGCCTTGGTGAAGAAGTTCAAGTAGTTCAGAGCAAAAATTAGCTGGACAGGTTCATTCATCTCAATCGTCACCTAATCAGACCAGGGGATAAATGTGTCACAAGTGTGCTAGAGATATAGACATTGTTGAAAACCTCTCTTGGACACACGCATACACGTATACAAAAAGACTCTTACAGCCTCATCCTCTTTGTCCACATTGCTGGTTTGGGACAGTTTGATGTTTCCGGTTCCCAGTTCACCGCTGGCAGAGAACTTCACGCCGTCTTTAGCACAGGAGATCATCACAGCATCTCCGATCTGGGACAGATCCCGGCAAATCCGGGCGAATTCACCAGAGGGCATCTTCACTACACAGCTGTACTCCTGCTCCTACAAACGCAAAAACATGAACATTCTCTTACTGAACATGAGGCACAGAAGAAACCGATTCTTCAAACAAGACACCATGAGCAGCTCAGTGGATTATAAATGTTAAACTCTTTCCCAAGCACCCCAATAGTGTCGTTAACGTCATTTCAAACACGTGTAACCCCTGCCAAACAAGAGCACACCCCCAATTAACTTCAGTTCCACTCTTGTTTAGTTTTAAACCTGGGAATCTTTGTGTCCGATTATATTAACACTTACTGGAATTCCAAGCTGCTCCACGTCCAGGTCCATCAACTTCATCTCATAATCAGAGACTTTCTCCTGATCTGAAAGGATTACCAAGAGAATTTCATTGAAATAATCACCGCCCACACGCACAAAAACAGAATATACAGTAATCTGTGAACGAATATATTCCAGAATCTACATGTTGAAGAATACGTGTGTGTGCATGAGAAGGTCAAACCTGTCCCGGTAAATTAAACAGACATGAACTCACTGAGAGTCTCGAAAACCAGAGCCAGAGAGTCTGCGTTGTCCTCCGCTCTCAGTGTAATGATGTCCTCGTTCCCAGCACACTTGAGGATCTTGGACATACTGGTAAAGGAAAAGGATGATCATTATCATCAAATACACCACAATATAAAAATGAGCAACACCACGTGCAACGTCCGAGTCGAATAGAGTCAACACGACCGGTGCCGTGCTTCCACTTTTGATGATGATTGCTGGAGGCTTCCTGACATTTTGAAACATTTACCAAAAAATGGATGTCCATCAGTGATCTAAGGCACATTTTTATCTGAGTGTTTAAGCCGTTATCTTGCTATTAAGAGAACATCAAAGCGGTGAAAAGTTTTACTCATTTACTTTTCAATATTGATGCCTTTTATTTCGCAAATGAAACATCATGTTAGATTTCTTTGTGTGTGTGTGGGGGGGATAAAACCAAACAAATCTCTTTATACAACATAATACTCCTAATAAACAGGTCGAATGACACCTCAGTGGTTACGGTTACAAGTTAAAAGTGGGAATTATTCAACAGTTAACTAGAAAATAATCCTGCTTCCGGTTTAAAAAAAAAACAGGCTAGAACATTCTGCAGCGCGCGAATGAACTTTCCCGCCAACAGCGGGTCTGCGCGCGAAAATGACGTCACACGCAGCGCGCGTACACACACACACAAAAGAGCGGCGAGTTTGACTAGACAAAATACAGATTTGTAGCATTAAAACGAACAAAATTGAGGTTTTGTGTGTAATATAGAGCTGCACGTTTATTTAAAAATAATAATAATAATAATAATAAAAAAGTGACTTAGGACAGTCCGAGGAATGACTCGAAACGCCTCACGCGCATGTCAGAACACGTCCGCCATGTTTACAAAACGCTGTGTAACCTCGCTCTGGTGAATACGAAGGCGATGTGGGTTAGACAGGAGCGTCAGTATACACGCGTGCGCTTTCGTCCTGCTTCTCGGTGTGAAGTCTGACCTGCTGAGGTTGACTCCCATGGCGAGGTTTCTGTCGCAGCGGTACGAGTCGAAGCCATCGCTGCGCAGTGTGAGCTGCACCAGGGACACATGAGACGAGTCCATGCTCTGCAGAGAGATTCCCGACGAGCTCACATCCCAGCACGCCTCGGTGATCAGATCCTTCAGAGCTTCCAGCACCTTCTTCAGGATGGAACCTTGAACCAGCCGGGCCTCAAACATCTCTGCGGTTGTTGTTTTTTTTTTTTTTAATTAAAAAAACCGGTTACGACGTAAACTAATACTTAAATATACAACTAACTAAGTTCGCGCGTCTTTCTAATGCTCTTGATGTCGGTGTAAAATCAGGAACCTTTTCTTGGATTCAACTTTAGTTCAAAATTAACAGCCAACAAAAAAAAAAAGAAACACGCGCGTGACGGCTCATAAACTGCTCCGAAATGTCTCTGCGCGCGCGTTTCTTCTTCTTTTGATAGACATGCCGGACGCCGTCACTGACGTCACTTCCGCTTTTACGTCGCACAACTGGGCCGTGCACTTTCCCCGCTGTCTTAAATAATTTAGAAACAACTATATGTATACAATGTTGATTTATTTATTGTATTTTATTAAAAAAAAGAAATTAAACTTTGGGATAATGTTTCACAAATCTGGAAAAAAAGCTGCTCTACTTCCGGAAGTAAATAGAAACCGGATATTCCTGGAAATGATTACACAAACGTTTTAAAAGTTTTGAACACGACAAATGTGGACATTTCCGCAGTGCCTGGGACAACTGAATATGAACTTTATAACCTACAGAGGCTACAAAGTCGGTCTCTGTCTAGGCTAAACGGCGCGTGAGGGTAGAAACTACACGTCCCATAAAGCATTGCATATGACGTCACCGACTCGTTTCTCCGATTTTCATGCAGCGTTTGTGGTGGTGTATTTTATCTTTTGCAATATATTTCTCTCAAATAATTTGTAATAATTGTATACATCATTCATTTGATAGACGGCTTGGTGGTTATGTATGAATAGCTTTGTTTTTTAAACAGTTTACAAATCTGAGACCGCCGTTTCATCCGGGTATTCACGCTACACAATACCACTTACCGGCCACTCGATGTCGCTGTTTCCCCCAATAATGAACCGCATGCTTGCGTTATTTAAGACGGTGCTTCTCAAAAAATCTTTTTAATTGTGCTGCAGCGGTATGGGTTGTGGAACTCACAACCCATCCAATTTATTATATTTGTTAATGAATTCCACTCATATTTATCAGTGGGGTTGCACGTTGGTTTTGTGGTTAGCACGTTTGTCTCGCACCTCCAGGGTTGAGGGTTCGAATCCTCTCTCTGCTATGTGTACATGTATTTAATATATATACTCAGGTTTCCTCACCCAGTTCAAAGACATGTATGTATGCATGGATATTTATTAGTGAATTCCTGTTTGACTGATTTAATCCAAATCTCAATAACTCTCTTATAATATTATTCAACGCTACTTCGACTTAATATTTAAACTGAATATTCTTGTACACATTTAAATTGTTGTGGTTTTTGTACAGTTAAAAATGGGTCCCTTGCTACAAAATTTGAAAAACAAATTATGATTTTTCCTACTGTGGTGTTTAGGTGTGTACTTCAAAGCCAAAGTTTTCCCCAATGCTGAAGTTACAGAAAAAAAACCCTATCTTGGTTGTGTACAGTTCACAAAAAAAGTTTGCGTGGCTGTGGTTTGTTTAAAACCAAAAATGAAAGTTGTCCAACACCCATGAAATCAAATGCAGATACTCCTCACGGAGGGATGTGAGCCAAGGAGGGATGAACATGAGTTAATTACATTTCACCCCCCCTCCCTTGGAGGTATGTCAACATAGCGGTCGTTTTGTTGTTTCATCCAACTCTGATGTACGAGGCTGTGACCTGATCCATGCTGAGAGTTTAATGATGACCTCAGCGGGATTTCTCCGCTCTGTTCCATTACTCTCTCCAGCTGTGGGAAAGTCCACTTTTTAATGTCTGGGTTAGCTTAAACATACTCCTTTATCTCTTGAGGTTCAAGAAACGCCTGTGTCCGGTGTTTTGGTGTATCTTACTATCTTACAGCACTTTCATTAGAAATGAAACGTTATTCAATAGTTTGTCCAGGCGCAATCATTTCTAATCAACTAAGTAAGTATGGTCCATATATCCACTGCACTTAGGAAGACATTACAATGTCAGCTGTCACAACACAACTTGCAAGTACAGGTTGGAGTAGAGAGAGATGTATGTGCAATGGAATATAAAACAGGACCATAGTTCAATGACGTTTCACCCAAAATCACAGCATCGAATTATTTACCACCTACAGACCAAACCATTACTAATATAATACGAACACAAAAACAAAACACGTAC